GAAAAAGTAGGCAAAGCCTTACCAAACTTCCCAATATTCTCCTCTTTAACTTTTTTTTCATTACCAACTATAAAAATCTCATCCTGTTCTCATTTTTGTTATTCCTCACACACTTTACAACCGGACTCATACTCTTTCCCTTCGCTAAGGTGTGAGAAATGCTTAATTACTTCAAAATAAGGCTTAGTATCATCATATGTCTTGTAAGACTCCGGAGCTGCTTCTATAAAATCAGCAGTTTTATTTAATCCCTTTGCGGAAAGTTCATCGCTTAACTAGGAAGCAAGTTCACCCAGTGTTCCCATTGCTCCGCTCCGAAGCATAGACATTCCATCACTTGCCAATTTTTCAGAAAGTTCTTTTAACTCTTTTTGTTTAGCAAATTTGCTCATCATAAGTTGTGTCATCCCAAGACCAAGAAAAGGACCATAACCAATAGTTTCACTAATAACTTCATTAACAACCATATCTGTCACCTGTTTACCCATATACATTAATATTTTTTTTGATTCTCTAATAGAATTTAGATTTTGGCAACCAATCAAACTTAGGTAAGTTATGGATTGTTTTTCGATATCCAATTCTTCTAATTGGGTAAATTCAGATAAGTCTAAAGCTCCAATTAAATCATCAATAGGCAAAAAGAAAGTGTTAGGAATTCCAACATTACAAGGATCTGCTGATAAAGTTATAGGTAAGATATGCAATTCTCTAAAATTTTGTCTTTGGTTTGTTGGAATAGTATTATTCAGTCAAATTTGGGCGTTAATCATATGCTATTTTATTTTATTTAAATAGAAGTACAAACCTCTATATTGAGTGCCAGGAGAAATTTTGGTTTTTGTTAATTAGGCATTTAGTTAGGGAAAATTGCCTTTTTTTCCTAGTTCAAAACTCGGCCTTGTCGGATACTTCGCCGGCTAATTCCAATTTTAAATGTTGTTGAATTACCTTAACATCAGCCGTAACCTTTTTGTATTCTTCTAGTAATTTGTTCCTTTCTCCACCACCAAAAACTTCTCAATCAATTATAGATTGTAAGAGTTTGGATAAGGATCAATCTCTTTCTTTTTTCCAGTTTATTATTCTAATTAACCTTCTACTCCTACTATTTTAATTTCGGTATATTGTTCACGATGACCTCAAGTTCTTTTTGTCCTTTTTTTAGCTTTATCTTTCATGCCATGTATTTTCTTGTTTTGTCCGTTTCTAATTACTTCCCCAATCAATTTAATATCTAAATAAGGTTGACCAAATTCCTCATCTCTTTGCAAAATTTTGTCAATAACTATT